TATGTTGTTCACTATATTCCACATATGAGTGAGGTCATGTGATATTTATCTTTCTCCAACTGGCTTATTTCGCTTAGCATAATGCTCTCCATGTCCATCCATGCTGTTGTAAATGATAAGAATTCCTTCTTTTTTACAGCAGCGTAGTCCATTGTGTAGATGTACCGCAGTTTTTTAATCCATCCGTGTGCTGATGGGCACTTAGGCTGTTTCCAAATCTTAGCTATTGTAAATAGTGCTGCTATTTACCACTCCTCACCGCCTGCCTGCTCGCTGCTCCTTGCTGCTCTGCTCTGCTTGCTGCTCTGCTTAGCTTTGCTGTGGAGGCAGTAGAGGCTCCTGCCATTGCCGCTGTGCTCGCCAGTGGTGAACCTGGCTTCTGGCTGAGCAGCGCTTCCCCTGTGGGAGCACACTGACCGCCAGGGGGAAGCTCCTGCGTTGAGTGTCTGCCCCCTAGTGGTCAGTGCCCATCAAAGTGATGGGTTGTTCTGGTTGTTCTGCCATAACAGTCGCTTAGGTTTTTATTATATAGATGGGTTCTGGGTTTCCTTCCTGGGAAAGCAAATCCTGGATTGCGCCATGGCCCTCAACAGTGGCTGACTTGCCTTCCTGTAGAGCAGGGTCACACAGGACACCCGGGGGCCCTTGGCCAAATCTTGGCTACTGCCAGATTTAGGGGGTGCATTTTTTTTCTTCCAAGGCTTGGATGATGTCTTCAGGAACTTCTCTCAATTATCTCACTTGTTCTCTTTTGTTTCTCCTGAAATGAAACCAGGAGTTTTCTGTGGCTGTTAGGAAAAGGCTAACTTCCACTTTTCCGTACAGAACTCATTTATGCTGGACCTTTAGATAAGTGAGAATTTTTTCAATCCATGTCATCACAACTACTTTGCCTTCTCCCACGGTCTCAGAGCCCAAAAGTGATGGTTTGAGGGATAATTCTTCCATCACAGACTCCAGCACTACGAATGTGATGGGTTTCCTTGGCTTCTCTGATTTTCTTCGCTTACTTGTTGGTGATGGTACTGTTACATCATCATAAAACCTCCAAGCTAAGGCCCATCTCATCGTCCGACCTTGACAGCATTTAGTGTAGGTGACTTTAGGAACCCCTTGTATTTGAAGTTCTTCCTTCATGGGAGCAAGGCTGCATTTCTTTCCCAGCATATAGCTATACCACCACAGTCTTTTTTTAAGTTGTATATTGTCATGGATGATCCTTTTAACAAACTCTAATTCGCCTCCTCTGCCATGATCTCTGTGATACCTCCTATATTTACTGAACTAGATGGAGGTCTTCAAGGATTTCAAGAGTTTACTCCCTGGGCTTCCATCTGATTGGCAAGAGGAGGATCGCACAGACAAAAGTCATAGGTTGTCTCAGATTCTTCTTTAAGAGCATCCATCAGAAGCATCTTCTGTGGTACTTTTACAGCTTTTATAAGATCAGATAAGTTATTCTATTCCACATTTTTCTTTGCATAGTTGAAGCACATGTCATCTACTTCTGTTGCAAGAAAATACCTGTCTCGGTATCTTCCAGTCCAGAGAATACATGTTTAATCTTTTGCAGGGATGAGGAGCTGTAAGTTCCTAGTTGCACAGATTCTGAGAGGGAATCTTGGATTTGTCTGCGACTGTTATTTTGAATCTCACCATTACCCAGCTTTCAGTGCCCCCATTCTGGAGCTTTTTGTGGATTCTATAATATAGATGTAATTCTCATTTTCTCACTGGTAGTTTAAGATTCAACTTCCTTGTAGTTACTTTCAAATTTTGCAGTTTTCTTATTGCCCATTCTCTTTGACCCTGTGTTATGAGGAAGCAAACAATCAGAAACTATTCTTTGCTATATTTTAAGAAAAGACTTTTGACAAGAGACTTGAAGAAATTGCATGTTCTTAATGTGCCATTTAAAATTTTCCATTAGGTCTATTGAAATAGATCTCAAATGTTCCCACCTGAAGCATTTAATGATGCTCCAATTAGATATATCACCTTAGGAAAATCTATCCTTCCACCTTGGATATATTTTCTTCTTTTTTATGGCTCTTTTATATCTCATATTATTTGTGTTTGCATACTTTTCTTACACTCTGCCCTTCCCCCGACACCTGACCATAACTACTTGAGGGCCTTGAGTGTTCTTCAGATTTGCCCAATAAAAATTTGTTACATTAAGTGTTGTATATATCTTGTTCTTGCAAAATATTAGCAATGTATTAAATACTGAGAATAGTAAAAGAAGGAATTAATACAACAGTGCAGCAAAGAGATTAAGTTCAGATATAAAGAAGTATGATAATTATTAAACTTGGATATTATGAAATCTTTCAATGTAGATACCTAATCATAACAAAATATAATATCTCTTATTTCCTAGATAGAGAAGAAAGAACTACATGATCTATCAATTTTTAATCAGGCTCATGATTCTATAATTTAGATGACATATATATTTGGTATTGCTATATTATATTTATATAGTAATGAGATATAATGTTAAGTGCCTAGAAATATTCCAAAAAGTTTATAAATGCACTTTAGATAAAATAATGTTTTAATGTATTAGAGAGACTAAATTCATAAAGAAGTCCATACTTGTAATTTTCCATTTAGAAACTAAGTTTGTGTGTGTGTATTTTGTAAAATTGATTTTTACAAATCAGTGCTGTAATTTTTTTTCCTCCTGATCTTTTAAATATTCTGCAGGAAACTATTTTAGGGTTTGAAACGAAATTATTCAGAGAAAGGTTATTGCTTTAAAATAATGTTTATTTTTCCGGTACTGTATTTTTAAGAAACTCATGACCCATTTGTCTTTTAAAGTGTATTAATATTTCTTTGAGAACAAAGTAGAGGAAGAATATCATCTGCATTTTAACATGTAGAAGTTGCTGAGGTATGGAACATCAGTGGTCACTAATATGTTCTTTCATAGAGCTAAATCAGTACTTAGGAAACTGATGGTATTTGGTTCATTACCACAGGCAAACGAAGCAGAAATGATTGTTAGGCATAGGTATTTGTTTTTGTTTTTAAATTTTCTGGCATCTTACAAATAATTTATTGGGATATGACTTATGAAAACACATAGAAGCATTACTCTAAAAATTCCATTCTTTTGAAACCATATTATTTGGGTACAGTGTTCATAGATGCTAAAAATATTTTTTAATTGTCTCCTGAGACTTGTGGGATACATGTGGAAAAGACAAACTTGGTGTTTATAGTTTGACTTGGTTAATTCTCTGTATCCATATCGCTCCACTTTCATAATTTCTTCATGAAAAAATGTAATCACATACAGATTTCTATTCGCTTGCAACACAAAATTAATGTGAATTCCATTGCAAACTAACCACCATCAAAAGTTTTGAAAGTCTGGTTTATATTTTTTAAGTGCAGTATGTGGATGACTTTCTTAGTTTTGATTTTTGGAAAAGTACATCTTTAAAAATATTTTCATCAGGTTGTTAAAATGTGGGTAATGGTGACAATACTGGTATCATATTTTGGTTAATTTAATGTTCTTTCTTTATATAATGTATTTTTGTCTACATACATTTTTTTAGTGCCGTTACCTCTGAGTTTCTATGAAAATAATTTTTTTGCTTATTAAAACAAAACAATCCTTGAGATTTTTTTACTGTTTATTTTTTACTGTATTTTATTTTTGAATGCATTAATATTAATATTTCAGTTAGAAGGCAAAGCATAGATATAGATAACCATGTTTATATAGACAACAGCCTCATCACTCAGAGCAAAATATCTTAGAAAATGCATTTAGAATTAATTACTGCTTAGTTTTAGCTATTTTTTTAATAATTGGAGAATATATTTTTTTGTAATAAATCCATCTTGTCTTATTGACTCAAGGAAACTAGAATGTTCCAAAAATGTATACACACTTTGAATAATTATTAATTCCAAGGTGTTAAATCTGTAAAGAAAGAAACATCAATTGAGCTATCAGCTGTTAAATGTGTATACATATATGTGGATATGTTCACTTTTGAAATATAGAAAAGGAAACACGTTATCGTTGGCCAGAGTATCACTTGCAGCTGCTGATTCACAATTTAATGTAAATTTGTTTTTTCATTTTAATGTATACCACCTATTACTTGTTTTACCTTTCTAGAACTTTTAGTTCTTTCATGATTTGTTAGATAAAAGCTTCTTTTATTTCTTTTTTTAAAGTCCAAGTACTCATGTTTTCTCCTTCTGTTTTTACTTATATACACTTAAGATAAAATAAAATGTGTTATCCTACTGATTGTCCTCTTACATTCCTTAAGGATAAAGGAGAGTGGAATTCTGAATATTCCCTTGTGTTTTTCTCTTCCCTGGTCTCCCATGAATACATGACTTGATTTATCTTGATCAGCCTAGTAACTTGCTCCACATTTTTCCAAAAGTGCAAAGCAGTTTCAGCTAAAAATACACATATCAAAATGCTCCAGAAGTTGTGGCCACAGCTCAAAAATGCTGATCAATTTTGAAAATCTAAATCAACCTCGGCCATGAAACCAAGGGAAGAACCTTTGTGGTGGGGGACAGATTTCCAAAAATTCACCACAGTCCTGTTCTTAGCTAGAGTTTGTGCTGATGTTGCCAGACAACTGAGGAATAGATGCAAAAAGCAGGAAGCATTATTGAATTGAGTCCTAGCGCCAATTTGGGAAAAGCAAATTAAAATGTAAAAGAATATTTTTCCACTCCTGGCATCTCAATGTAAAATGGCAAAATACATGGTTGCTGAAAAAGTCACAGAAATTACTAATTTTGCCAGAAAGACTAATTTTGCAAAAAAAAAGGTCTAGTCTTTTTAAGTTAAAAATGCATGCACACATAGTTAAAGAAGTTTTTTTTTTTTTAACCCAAATAAAATAGTCTTAATTTACAAATCAAACTGTATATACCTTTAAGTCAGAGAGTGTTTTGACATAATTGACTGTGTGTGGGCTTGTTTCAATGTCTTCTGTTATTTTCAGGTGCACTTGAACAATGGATGATGATGATTTTGGTGGTTTTGAGGTATGTGCTATTATTTACCTTAATTTTGCTTACGTAATTGTTTTAATTTTGTGAGATTACAGTGGAGTATTTACTGTTTTGAAAATGTATTATTTATCATTGGCATTCATGATCTTTTTCTTGATCATTTTGAATGTAACTTTAGAATAAAAAATGAAATCAAGGCAAATAAAAATATAGCCCCTCTGAAAGTTAAACTGATTTATTATTATTGAACATTTGGTCATGCCCATAGGAATGGTTTAAATTAAGATAATTAAGTGCTACTAGTAGAAACACTAGAGAAGGGGTTTTAAAAATTGTCAGCAGATGATTTTGTTGTGATACATGTCAGTTAGGAAATACTTGTGAGATGAGAGATGAGCCTTGAAGATCGGTCACATATTTGCATGTTTACACCTGTAATGAGTTAATTTGGACTATTATCTACATAGCCTTTTGGTGGCTTATACAACTAATTAGTATGTTTATGTTTGAGTATTCCTTCAGGTTTGACTTAGTATTTTGTAAGTGGAAATTGTTAGCTGAAGAAGCACTGTCTTTTCCTTAATCCTTTTCAGTGAGTGTTCATTTTATTGAAATATTTTGTAACCCAGTTATTTTTATGGAGCCAGTATAGTCTTGCAGGAAAATCTCTGGATTAAGAGGCAGGATGCCTGAGCTCAAGTCCTGGAACTACCATCAAGTGAGCTCTGTGATTTTTCTTTTTTTTAAGTAAGACTTTCACCTAGTTTGGAATTTGGTAGAATTAGATTGTTAAAAATAGAGAATGTAATTAATGACATTAACAGGAAATATAATATATTAAGTCTATATTCAATGTTCTGAATATCATGTAAGAATGGTATGAAATTTTTAGATGAGGATCATTTTCTGTCAATATGAAAATATTTAGAATATGAAAATATTTAGAATATGAACATACCTATTTTCCTCATTTCATCTAAAAGTATTTTTTTGTTTAGCACATTTGTATGTTTTCTATAATATTTTGGGTTTTGTTAGGTGATTGAATCTTACTTATGTTACAAAATGAAACATTTAAAATTTTGTTAAAATTTATTCTATTTTAAGGAAAATATATGTTTTAGATATAATATTAGTTTATTGTTTAGAAGTTGTCAGTTATTTGAAAGTTAAAATTTAGTATAGTCTCCTTTAGACCATGCTTGACTTATTATATTAGAAAAAAATTGATTTGATGGTGCTCCTTATAGTAAAATTTACACTTCAGTGTTATAGTCAGTGGATCTATTACTTTCAATATTATATAGGTACAATTTTAGCCAACCATTCCAATTTAATTGTGGTTATTAGGGTACTTTCTTACCACATCCTGTTGTAGAAATATGGAAGGTCTCTGTCCTTGTCATATAAACCATGGTCATTTTTCGTAGTTTGTAGAGAGTAGTAATTCTACACCATGTGTCTCCTGTGGTAGATTTTCCTAGTTGACTTCTCTTTCGCTGAGAACTCAATGAAGAATCTGAACTGACATTATGGTTCTTTTTTCAGTAATAATTTTACTGTGACCTGGACACTTAAAACAGAAAATGCTGTACTCTTACACATACCTTAACATTTTAGTAATTGTCCCATAGTTTTACAACTGTTTAATAGGAGGGCTTGTTAATTTAAAATGCCAGCTTTAGGACTTCTCTAAATGTTGAATAAGCATGTCCAGCTGGTAGATTATTAAAAAAAATATAGATGAATTCTATTTCTTTAGATGGATTTCTAATTAGCTCTTGTGTTAATGAAAAGGATTTGGTCTCTAGACTTTTAAAGAAAAATTACCTGTTTTTCTTACGTACATGATAAATGTGGTAAATTAGCTTAAAGTACATAGATATGAAGTTCACAAGTGGAAATGTGATTAAGGATATATAAAATAAAAGATTTATTGCCAGGAGATATATTTGAGTAAGTAAGGAAAATTTTTGCTTAAAGATAATAGAACATGAGTACTGGGGGTAGTGAGTATTGGGGGCTGGTAGTAATAAAGACTGAAAAGCAATTGAGTGTTCAGAGGGAATTTGAAGATGAGTGGTACATTACAGAGACTATGCTTGTAGAACCAGGAAGCTTGATTGCTTAAATAGCACTTCTATTTTCCAGGCATTCTAAAGTAATTTTGCCTTTGTTTTCTAGGCTGCAGAGATTTTTGATGGTGGAAGTGGTGAAACCCAAACTACATCTCCTGCTATTCCTTGGGCTGCTTTTCCTACAGGTATTAGTATACAATAACTCAGAATTTTTTTTTCTTATTTATACTGGAGGCCCGGGGCACAGCATTTGTGAATTGGGGAAAGTCCCTCAGCCTGGCCTGTGTTCTCTCGCAGGCTGGGACGCCTTGGGGGATGTCTGACTGCTGGCTTAGGCCCGCTCCCCAGCAATAGGACATCCCTTGAGAGGTCCTTAGCGCTACTGCGGAGGCAGGAGAGGCTCCTGCCATTGCCGCTGCGCTTGTCAGCCATGAGCCCAGCTTCTGGCTGAGTGGCGCTCCCCCTGAAGGAGCACACTGACCACCAGGGAGCAGCTCTTGCATTGAGCGTCTGCTCCCTGGTGGTCAGTGTGCGTCATAGTGACTGGTCGTTCTGCCATTCGGTTGATTTGCATATTAGGGTTTTATTATATAGGATTTTTGCCTTTTCTTTGGAAACTTCTTTCTACCTTTGCACTTGGCCTTCTGTGGTCTGAAATTGGAATGACCCAGACTTAATCTAGGTTTTTTCATAACAAATTATGAATTGCTGCAGTGGTGGCCTGAGACATGATTAAAAAAAATAATATCGCCGAAACCGGTTTGGCTCAGTGGATAGAGCGTCGGCCTGTGGACTGAAAGGTCCCGGGTTTGATTCCGGTCAAGGGCATGTACCTGGGTTGCGGGCACATCCCCAGTGGGAGATGTGCAGGAGGCAGCTGATCGATGTTTCTCTCTCATCGATGTTTCTGACTCTATCTCTCTCCCTTCCTCTCTGTAAAAAATCAATAAAATATAAAAAAAAAGAAAAAAAAATAATATCATGAGCATTAAATGAAATTAAATTACTACTTACATTTCCTAATTTATCCTAGTTTTAGGAAGGTAAGGTGCAAATAATTTTCTTAAGTTATCTAGTTCATTAATTAAAGACTTCTTTTTACTGTGGTGAAATACATGTAATGTAAAATTTATCATATTAACTATTTTAAGTGTACAGTTCACTATTGTTAACATACTCACATTGTTGTTCAACCAATCTGTAGAACTGTTTTATCTTGGAAAACTGAAACTATAGTAATGAAACAATAACTACTTATATTCTCTTTCTCTCAGTCCCTGGCAGCTACCATTCTACTTTCTATCTCTGTGAATATGACTATCCTACATATCTTATATAACTAGAATCATATAGTATTTGTCTTTTTGTGGCTGATTTATGTCACTTAGCGTAATGTCCTCAAGGTTCATTCGTATTGTTGCATGTGTCAGAATCCCCCCCTCCCCCCTTTATAAGCTTGAATAATACTACACTATATGTATAGTACACATTTTTTTATCCATTCATCTTGTTGGTGGACTCTTGCTTCCTTTGACTATTTAAATAATTCTGTTATGAGCATGGGTGAACTACTTTGTGTTTTTAAAATATCATTCTAGCTTTGCTGGTAGGGTTCAGTGATTGAGCATTGACTATGAACCAGAAGGTCATGGTTTGATTCCCGGCCAAGGCACAAAAAGCCAGGTTTTAGGCTTGATCCCCAGTCGGGGGCATGCAGGAAACAGCCAATTGATGATTCTCTCTCATCATTGTTGTTTCTATCTATCCTTCCATCTCCCTTCCTCTCTCTTAAATCAATAATAAAAGTTTTTTAAAAAACATAACATATCATTCTATTGGATCCATGATGGTGGTAGAGTAAGTGGAAATTACACTCACCTCCTCCCAGCATCAAATTGAGATTACTACTAAATTATAGAACAGTCCACCTGAATAACCAACTGAAGACTAGATGAACAAGTCTTATAACTAAGGGCATACAGAAGAAGCCACATCGAGACTAATAAGAAAGACAGGGACATGAAAAGGGCTTGCCCTGCACCCATGTACAGTGGTTGAGAATCTGGAGGGATGTCTCAGCTGCAGAGCACCCCACTGAGTAGTGAGGAGTCTCCACTTCATGCCAGGCTCCCCTACCCAGATCATCAGAGTCAGGAAGAGGATCCCAAGTAGCATCTGACTGTGAAAACCAATGGGGATTCTGTTCGCAAAGGAGAGATGGGAGTGTTCTAGGAACCCAGGCAGCTTCTTAAAGGGCCAGCACACAAATTGCCTTTGTGGGCACTTATCTGGGACTCTGGTGAAGGTACAGTAGCTCAGAGGAGACTAGAGTGTTACAGGGAGAGATTGGTTGTGTGGCTTTGGGGAGAGAGCTGAAGAAATAGCCATCATTGTCCTTATGCTGAGTCTCTCTCCCACACCACCTACAGATGCCATTATTCCTGGATCAGCACTCCACTGCATATGGTATTGGCCTGGGGAGATCCACTGGCCCCAACTCCTAAACTCCCTGTGTTCCTGCCTTGCCAAGCTTGTGTCCTGTGGAGAAATCAGCTAGCTGCGAGCAGGATGGGCTTGCTGTAGTCATTTTTGGAAGGCTCTCAAATAGGTCCAGGCAGATTCAGGGGGTTACAGAAATGTACAGGAAGAAATCAAGGTGTGTGATTCTGGGGCAAGTGTCATTTTTTTAATCCTGCATGCCCCAACTAGTGCCACTGTTTCTGTGCAGAGCCCTGCCTCCACACAGCCAAATCTTAATCTGTTTTATCTTGATGAACTCTATTGGCCTCACCCTGATGACTCCCCAAAACCATGCTCCACCACAAAGGTCTACAGGCCCAAGTTGGGTGGTGGCTGGCCTTGGTGTACTCTGAGGTTTTTGCTGAGTGTGCACAGACACAGTACTTTCACTGAGTTTGAATCTGTATCAACCTGGTGAACAATACTTGCCCCTAACTTGTGACCTCAAACCTGCCTCATGCCAATTGTGTACTGATGTGGGATTGTTAATGGCTGAGTCAAATAGGCAGCTGTCAGGTGGAGCCAGATCTTGGGGTGCCTTGGGCCTTTTGCTAATCTGCCTCAGGCTCACTAATGGTGTACACTGGCCTTGGTATACATCTTGTTCCTTCCCACACTCACCCAGGCCCAAAACAGGCAGCCAACATCCATGGATTGCTTTGTGGCTCCTAACAGGTATACCCCAGGGCCACTCATGGGCAGTATCTGACATTGACCTGCACTGGAGTCTCTCCCAAGAGACCTGAGAATCAACATACCAAGTGGCTGGTTTGAGACTTCATCAGAGCATGACCTGATTAGCTGCATAAGTGGCCCACCCAAAGGGAGATCTCAGCAGACATCAGAACCTGCTAGGGAGAATTCATGTTTGGGGGTAACCTCCCTGCACAGCAGCTTGTACACTGTGGTTGTTTGAGGTCAATCCTCATAGGCAACATAAGGGTCAACCCCACCACAGATGGGCCAACAGTAATCAAGACTAAACTATAATAGGTGGGCTTACCTAACCCCCACAAGGGATATTTTCTTGTAATTGATTTCTAGTTTGATACCATTATGCTTAAGTGATCAGGGAGACTGCATCACTGAGCCTACAGGACACCTACTACATAAGGCCACCTTACCAAGACTAGGAGTCATAACAGGCCTTCTGTACTTAATATACAGAAGAAACACAGAGAGCTAGCCAAAATGGGGGACAAAGAAATATGTCCTAAATGAAAAACAGGAGAAATTCACAGAAAAAGAACTAAACTAAATGGAGGCAATCTACCGGAGACAGAGTTCAAAATAATAGTTATAAGAATGCTCTAGGAACTTAGAACTTCAACAGCATAAAAAGAACATAGAAACCACAAAAAATAACTAGTCAGAAATGAAGACTATAATATTTGAAGTGTAGCATACACTAGAAGGAATTAGCAGATTAGATGAAGCAGAGGCTTGAATCAGCAAATTGAAATACAAGGTAGCAAAAAGCACCTAATTTTAAAAGAATTAAAATAATGAGGATTGTTTAAGAGATCTCTGGGACAATATCAAGCATAATAGGAATACCAGAAAAAGAAGAGAGAGAGCAAGGTATCAAGAATTATTTGAAGAAATAATGACTGAAAACTTCCCTAACCTGGTGAAGGAAAAACACACACACATGTCCAGGAAGTGCAGAGAGTCCCAAACAAGTAAACCCAAAGAGGCCCACACCAAGATGCATCATAACTAAAATGGCAGTGGTTTAAAGACAAAGTGAGGATCTTAAAAGGAACAAGAGAAAAATAGTTAACTATAAGGGAGTTCCAGTAAGACTTTCAGCTAATTTCTTAAAAGAAACATTTCAGGCCAAAAGAGATTAGCATGAAATATTCAAAGTGGTGAAAACAAGGACCTACAAACAAGATTACTCTACCCAACAAGGCTATCATTTAAAATTGAAGGAGAAATAAAGAGCTTTCCAGACCAAAATAGTAAGTAAGTAAGCAAATAAATAAATAAATGGTAATAGCATTTATCACCACCAAATCAGTATTACAGGAAATGTTAAAGGGATTTTTTTTAAGAAGAAAAAAAGTGGGGTGCATAAATATGTAAAAAAAAAATGACCATACATACATACCACTAATCATACACACAAATTCTGGTGTAGCAATACTTCTATCAGACAAAATGGACTTTAATACAAAGGCTGTAATAAGAGACAATGAAGGACATTACATAATGATAATGTGATCATTCCAAACAAAAGGATGTAAGCCTTGTAAGCATTTCTGCACTCATAATAGGAGCACCTAAATATATAAAGCAAATATTAATGGACATAATGGGAGAGATCAGCAGTAATATAATCATAGTAAGGTACTTTTATCACCACATTGGCATCAATGGATAGATCTTCCAGACAAAATCAACAAGGAAACAGTGGCCTCAAATCACACTGTAGACCAGATGGATTTAATTGATATTTCAAAGCATTTCACCCCAAAATATCAGAATATACATTCTTTTCAAGTGCACATGGAGCATTTTTCAGGATATACTACAAGTTATGCCACAAAATAAGTCTCAGTAAATTTAAGAGGATTGAAATCATATCAAGCATCTTCTCTGACCATAACGGTATGACACTAGAAATCAATTACAAGAAAAAAAATGAGAAACACACAAGCAC